CGGCCAAGAGGAGAACAGTGTGTGCGCTGACCTGCGTGGCCGACACAGGCCCTGTGTAGGCTGCAGCACGGCCGCTCACAACGTCAAGCTGCATTCAAAAGCCCCTCCAGCTGGGCCAGCCGCTCCGACTGACCTCAATAGCTGTTTTCATCCTCCTGTCTTAAAACACGCCGTGAAAGGCTCTCCAACTTTTTGGTCCAAGATAGGAAGGCTGATTTGGGGCTTAATTTCTACAATTGCAATGACTAAAAAAGCCTTCTCTTTCCTTCTGCATCATATCTCTGACATTAAAGCTGCCGGAAAAGCTGCCTTATCTTTCAGCTTGGTAAGCTGAGAGGTCGCCTTGCTGATTGAACAGAAAGACAAAAAATGCTATACACAAACAAACAAATTCCAAGTCATTAAGCTATGCTGGAAGATGTGTTTCACCATCCAAAATACTTTCCGGGACCAAACCCTAAGTGGGACTACAAGCCATAGCAACAAGAAGTGTTTCCAGCCGTAGAAAACACAGCAAGGTAATGCCAATGTAATGTCTGGGGGAGTGACAAACTTTTGATGGGAAGAGACATCTTCGGACAGAAGCCAATCTCACTCACAGGGAGAGACTTCTAGCTATGCTCACTCAAAGTACAAAAGAAGAGACAGTAAGAAGTTGCTAACTTGTACAGTTGTCTGTCCCTTCTATCCAGGCCTCCAATGCCATGAGCCTTTTCCCTCTAACATTTCTAGAGAACCAAATTCCGCATGAAATACAAGGAAGGTGTGCTTTATCCCAACTGCAGGGTTTTATTATATCAACTCTTCAGGATGTTTCAAAGACAGGCAGGTATCAGCAAATGGAATCAGTTTCACTATGGAAAATGGGCTTCTCGGACATCCGAAGCTGGGCTTGAAAAGCGAGGTCACAAGGTGCTAGCCACTGGATCCAGAAATTCCCCCTCCTTCACCTCCACCATCAGTGGTCCATCAGGACAACATCGGTGGGTGAAGGGGAGGAGGAGATCAGAAACAGGCAAACTTCTATTTCCTCAGCTCCAGAAGTCACGCTTCTGGTGTGCCAAAACGATTATCTTCAAAGGGATTTTGAGAACCACTTAATGCAGAATATGCTAGGATACACTTTGAAAGTGCTGACCCAGTACTTGTGGGCCTCCTTTCGCTGTGCACCCTGGAACCGGTGTGGTGTGGTGGTTAAGAGCGTGGGGCTGAGACTTGGGAGGTCTCGGTTCTAGTCCCTGCTCAGCCATGGAGCCCCCTGGGAAAATTTGGGTGAGCGCCAGACTCTCAGCCCAACCTACCTCACCAGGCTGTCGGGAGGTTCAGATGAGGAGGAGGAGGAGGAGGAGGAGGAGGAGGAGGAGGAGGAGGAGGAGAATTACGTAAGCCACCTTGAGGTCCTTGAAAGGAAAAATATAACAAATGAACAAATTGGATTTAGCCTTCCAAACAGAAAAGTGACTACACTGAAATGAAAACAGATTGAGAGTAGGGGCAGAGAGACAGAAATACTCTGACCAGGCATACCTCATGGCCTAGGGATGCATAAAAAGGCCATTTCCTCGTGGTTTTATTATTTCTGTTTCCTTCACTCCTTTTCCATGTAGGAAAGGGTTTGCCAGAGCACAGAGAGTTGATGAAACAGACTTTCACTTTAAGGGCGGTTGATCAAGAGTAATGAAATCCCAAGTGAGCACTTTCCACAGGCCAACATGTTGCACCAGAACATTTTTCTAAGAAACCGGAGAATGTCAAGATGGTCAGAAGACCATCTTCACCACTTCAGCTTGTGTAAGCAAGAGAGCTTGCTTCACAAGAGAGTCAACTGCTGGCTTGAGAGTCTGGACTAAGGAAAAATGATGGTGTCTTAAGAAGAGGGTGGATGTGCAGGGAAGAGCTAAGAGATTGCGTCTACTGTAACAGACGTGAAACGGTGGCCTCGCTAGAAGAACTGAGGTAGTGAAACACACATGCCATGTTTTGCTTGCCTCCAGGAAGTTTGCTGTCACATGTGCCCTTTCTGGTGTCGTGAAAATTGAACTGGACAAAGTGTCCCTGGGAAGGCCCAATTCACCCAACGGAAGCCATTCCCTGTGGGAAAACATTTAGATAAATCTTCTCCAAAGTGGTGCCTTGCAGCTGTTTAGGTCTTCAACGATCACCAGCCCCAGAAAGCATGGCCGATGGCCATAAATGCACTGATAACTGTTTCCCATAAATTTCCCTTAGATACAGGATTACTGTCTCTACTCGCACAAAGAATGGTATATGGAGGAGAGTACAACTATGCACTGGAGCCTTGTACCATCTCATAGAATAATAGATTTATTGCAACCCAAGTTTCTATGGACTAGAATCCACCAGATGTTATTCTCAGGTGGAAGATTGTGTATGTCATACAAAAGCCTCTCTGTAAAGTTTTGCATTTTTTTAAACACAACGGATTCCCTTCCAGCATCTATTTTAAGCAAAAACAAAACCTCAAAAGGCCAAACATAAACGTAACCAGGGAGAATAATGCATTATATAATTATTTTGCTGTTTGTGATTGCAAATTTCTTCTTTGAAGGAACAGCACCATGGCTGCTTTGATAAGCTTATCAGAGACTACCATTCAAACCCAACACTGGCAGTTTGATTGCAATAACTCTTGCAGAACTTGGGATGCCCAAGAAATATCATATGCAAAGGAAAAAAGCTTAAAAGTTGAGATGAAAACATCGGAGGAAACCGCCTTCCCCTCAGATTGCAAGGAATCAAGTCCAGCCTGGATGAACAACTTGAACCAAGCTTTAGGCCACGAGAGCACACATCCTCCCTTACCTTTTCACTCATGAATTCCTCTAGCTATCTTGCAGCTGGTTTTAACACAGGATGTGATCACTTTCAACCCAGTTCAAAATGGAAACTTTATACACTTCATTAACCACTCTGAGAACTTTGGGGGTTAGAAACTCATCTGGTTCATGTTTATCCAGGGCGGCGAAGATCATAAACAAGCCCAAATAGAGGGTTCAAGGGAATCTGCTCACAAGAGGTGGGGGAGGCACCCATAATTCGACAGTCTGCTTCCCACTCTAACCCTGGCTTCTTGATGTTTTTTAACCCTGGTTTGGACATGTAAGGCAGAGTAGGAAAAAATCCCCATAGACTAATTGATTAATTTCATTTCTGTATCTCCCAATAGTGAAAGTTCTGTGGACAGTCCACAGCAATTCATAAACGCACCATCCCTTACACAGTACAAACAAGATAAAAATTTCAGTACACAGCATTTGAAACTGAATTTAAAATTCACTTGAGAAGCCAAGAACCGGTTTTCAAGATGACTACTTCAGTGAAAAGTCTCCCATATGCCACTACAGGCCCCTGAATGCCTTGGAGAAAGGGGCAGTCTTAATGTGGTGCCAACAGGACTTGGCACCAGGTGGGCCTTGGGATGGAAGTAATTCCACAACTGAAGATTCTCTGGGGAGGAGGCTTTCTCGGCGACCCCTGAGGGGGCCCCCAGAGGAAGGCTTAACTGTATGAATGCGACATACGAACCCCCTTGTGAGTCCCTATAGAGATGGCAACAGAAAGATCCTGCTGACAACGCGACATGGAGTTTCAGTGCAAGGAAGCCAGTCCCCATCTGTTGTGGGATGGGAAACCAGGCTGATCCTCCTATGTCAGCTTCCTACGTTGCTGGTTTGAGGAGCAACCCAGCCTAGAGAGAGAAAAACTGCAGCATTTGGCTTGGATTAGAGGCGATTCTTCTGCGGGAACATGCCTGCAGCCTGCAAGAGCACATGCAGAGAGCGCACTGAACTTCAGCCAGTGAAGACGGGAGGAAGCCAGCAGCCACTTAAGGTTAGTGGCAGTGCCCCAAGGTCAGGAAAGAGCCCGGTGCTGCTCCCACTGAAGGATGCAGCCCAGGTACCAAAGAGATTAATTCCTTCCTCTTCCCCTGCTTTCACAGGGTTCGAATTCCTGAGATAAGCGGCTTTCAACCAAAGTGAGACAAATTAAAATGCAGAGGCTGCTCAGAGTTAAGGAGCAGTTGGATGACAGTGAGGAATCCAAATCATAAATTAAGGGGGTCTCTGGTCGCTGGTTTCTCCCCTCTGGGTAGGATAGAAAGATTCTTTCAGGAAGATTCAGCAAGGAGAAACTTTCTTGCAATCATGTTTGCCTTTGTTTGAGCACACCAAAACCAACTGACAATAGTTTGACTCTGGGCTGCTGTATTAAAAGGCACAGCTCTTTTAAATGACTCTTCCTGGAAGCTTATTTGCTGTTCTGTTAACACAAGAAAAGATACTAGAAGTTTCTGCCGCAAGTATGAAAGAAGTCAGTTCATGAGCAAGCCCTGGATTGTTTTGGAATTTGTTTTGGCATGGTGCTAGGTGATGATCGATGCACACATAGTGAATAACAAACACATTTGATTAGCATTTACTGAGAGATGGGAGGGCCTTTTTAAACAAGCAAGAGTAAATTTGCCTACAGATTAATTGTGAAAACAGAAACAGAAAAACAGAGCTGCTGCTATAGAACTGAGCTGCAGCAATTTGTTCTACTAGTGAACTGAAATGTCACCAGAAGAGAGAACCTCACCGCACAGTGAGATCAAGAGCATTTCAACAGTGACTTTTCAGATTCCCATTTGGCATGTTCTTTGCAATTCTCAAAGAAGCCTTCCTGCATCTCAAACAAGGAAGCAAAAGCAGAGGCAAGCAGGAGACAACGCCAAATAAAGTTTCCTAAATCTCATATCCCTCACTGGCTATCAGTACATACATTCAGTTCTTTGTGTACTCAGACTACAGACGGTTTGGTTTACGGGCCTTCAGAAAGAGCACATCCAATGCCCTGAAGAATTCAGGGGGGAGATGTGGGTCTCCACAGCTCATGGTCACTCACTGGATGTGTGTCGCACTAGAGCAGGTGGGGAGGGGAAGAGGGAAGCTAGCTGCACACTGAATTGTTCAGAAGAGAGAGCATGCGTAATTTCTTACCTGGAAGACAAGGTGGCAAAGTCTCCTCCGTCCAGCAGTCTGATTTTGCAGAACAAAACACCATTCACAAAGGGAACTGCCGTCAACTCCTCCAAAGTAAAAATGGTTTGAAATTTGAACTTCTTCTTCTTCATCAGAAACGCCATGGGCAAAGTCGAACGAGGCCAAAATAAAAAGCCCAGAAACACCAATTAAAAGAAAAATCAAAGAGCAGCAGCTCTGGACAGAAATGGTCAGGATGTTTCAAAACGTGAAACCACAACATAAAACTTTTAAAAAAGTCCCCGGTGAATCCAACGTACAAAAATAGAATTCAGATGCAATGGTAGCCTAGCTTTACATGAAAAATCCTCTTCTCTCTTTGGTGGTCTGATCTGGCTATAGTTTCATTGTTGGCGAGGACTCCAGGTAAGAAGGACGGCAGGTGGAGTCTCTGGTTCATTTCCGAGGGGGGGGAAGGAAGGTAAAAATCTGCTCCAGACCAGCAGGAGCAACCTTGGTTAGACGCTGTGATGCTCGGTTCCTCTCAGTGCTCGGCTTGAAAACGTTGCTGGCTTCTCCCTGGGCTTGCGCACAGCATAGCTGAGATGTCACGGTCCGAGTCTCCTCCCCCTGGGCAAAGGTTTCACGTGGATCAGGGCATTTGCTGTATATGCTGTGGCTTCCACCGGCTTCTTGTCAGCCTGGGGAAGGGAGCAACGTGGTGAGTCCGAGTTGTTATTGTTGTTGTTGTTGTTGTTGTTATTATTATTATTATTATTATTATTACATTTCTATGCCGCCCCTTGCCGGAACCTCGGGGCGGCTTACAGCTCCTCCCTCCACTGCCTTCCCCCTTCCCTGGCTAATTAGGGGTGTCTTATCTCATGCCATTCCAAGAAGGCCCTCAGATGATTTCCTTGAACCCCATTTACTCTCCTTTCCTCTACAGAGCAACTGTCACCAGTCCAAATGCATTTTATGTTTCCATGTTGTGCACCAACACAACCAGATTTTCTCCAACTGCCCGTCTCATAAAAGGATGGCTTCTAATGCACATATGCTGCCTTCCAAGGACAGACGGATGTACGGATACATGCCTCCAGCAAGAAGAATTTGCAAGAGATAAATACTCCACAGATGGTGGGTAAAAAACAAGAAAATGTGGTCCCCACCCCTGTGCTTCAGCATCTATTCACTCTCCCTACTATGAAAAGCCAAGAGACGGCAAGACGATTTCTTGAAGGATTTACCAAACAAAATTAAAACCAGGCTGACTTTGCTCAATCCTTAGGCCTGCTTTTGGAAGCAGATCCTTCTGAATTCAGCCAGCTGGTTAGCTCTTTGTAGCACTCACACGCCGATTAGAAGTTATTGCCTCTAAGTACAGCCTGGGAATATAAAATCCAGCTTGTGAAGCAGTTTACAAGGATCGATTCTGGTGGCTCCTGACATTCTCCTAACATCCTGCCTCTAACCCGTCTCCTCATCTGGAGGAATGCTTGCAAAGTTCGATGCCACAAGCTTAGCGATGGCCCCTCTCGCCTGCTGGGGTCAGCTATGCTTCACATAAACAGCCCATAAGCATGACTTCTGGGACTGGGATTTCCACCCCTGCCTCCGCCCCACACGCATGGCCCATACCCCCAAGACCACCGGTGCTGTGAACCCTGCATCATGTTGGCCACATCCCCATGTAACGGGAACAATCCGCTTCTTCCTTCTCTTGGACACCTCTGGCCGTCATGCTCAATCGCATGGTCCCCTGACACAAAGAAGAGGGTTGCCTCACCTCTGACTCGCCTGCCCTCATCTCCCCATCGGACGGGTCTCAAATTTTACAACCTGCCAACAAACCCCATTAAGGGGAGCCCAATTCCTACACAGCAATCCTTAGAACTTCAAGCCCAATGTAACAAGAAGGGTGACCATGTGCCACAAGAGCTACCTCGCCCCTCCTTGCACCCCTACTGCCCATCCTCCTCCCTGGTCTTCCCAGGTCTCCCCAGGCTCAGACTGGACGTAAACCACAGACAGAGCTCAGATACTAAAGCTTCATGGGCTAGAGGCCTTAGCGAGGAGATGAAGCTCCAGCGAAAACGATCAAGACAGTCCTACCAACAGTACACGGTTTTCAGAGCTATTTCAAGCTACGCTGTACTTAAGTCACATGGTGCATCATTAAACTGTGGGATTGACTTCCACGAGATGCAGCGGTGGCCACCAATTTGGACAACCTTAAAATGGAACTGGCAGATTCGTGCAGGAGGCGGCCAGCTAGCGGCTGCCGGTCCTAATTATATTCTGCTGCCAGCATCAGGTGCAATATGCTTACCTGTCCTAGCTTCTGGAAAGCATGGGCAGAAAGGTGCTCTCGCACCTGAGGAAAGAAATAATCCTGTGGACAGACCACAGGGGGAATGGGAAACTGGCACACAGCTTCAAGATCTCCCAGCTAGTCCGGGAGCAGGCAGACAAAGAAAGTCCATAGCCCTCTTGCTGCGTTTGTGGACTTTTTGCAGATTATACCAGGCTGTGCCTACCTTGGCTTAATCAAGCGTTGTGCTCTTAATATTATTAAGCAATGTGTGCTATTTAAGGCTCACAGAACACAGATTAGTTACGCCTTAGCAATTAAGATCATGTTGAGTATTTACTCTTCCTCTGCACATTTAAGACACTTTGGGGGATGACAGGGATCCTAGCAGAGAAATTTAGTGGATCATTACAAAACTGATGTAATGATTACAAGGAAGATCACTGCTCAACTTTGTTATCTCCCTTCACTTGGAGAATTTGGGAAGCAGGCTGAACCCTGAAAGCAGGGTCAAATTCTGATCTGAATCCTGACAGCAGGAGTTCCACATATACATATTTAAGAGGGATCAGTGGAGGGATCCATGCTGCACTGCAACACAAAGCAGGACTACTTAGAATCAAGTGCTCAGTGTATTTACTCCTAAGTGTGTGTAAGATCGCAGTCTTAGCTTGCAGTCCTAAATGGATAAATTCCTGCAGACAAAGTGCAACTGGATTTCAATGCAACATCAAACAGAAGAAACAGTTAATCTGCTAAAGCAAGCGTATTTCTTCTGTAAGTCCTCTATCTTGAAAGACAACCATAAAAATGTTATCTTTAAGGCAAATCTTTCAGGTACAAGTCATTAAAGCATTTTATGCCCCACTGGTCTTGGTAGGAGAGGATTTAGGCACCTGCTTAATGCTCCACTGAAGCAAATGAAGTTTCACCTACACGTACATTTTGGCTGAATCATTCCTATATTCATATACAGCGCTTGTATGTACATAAAAGCACACATGCTACACACGCTAAGCATGAACGCGCCCCAAAAGACTTGCATGGGCTTGCATGTCTGAATCCAGCCCAGTGCACGCATGCACGCACGTGGACTCGCAAAATATAAATACACGTGCACACGTTACATCTGCAGGGGGACGCACACACGTATCTCCACTGGGTCGGGTCCGGGTTCCGCCACTGGTCCGTGGGACCCGGGAGTCCGCGCGAAGCGAAGCCCCGCCGCCCCCGACGGGCCCAA